AGCCCGGCGCAGCGCCGCGGCCTCCGGCGCGCGGGAGGGCGAGCTGGAGCAGCAACGGGACGCCCGGACCGTGGAGCCAGCGGGGCTTGAGGCCGCGCCCGGGCTTTAGCGCAACTTCGTCCCGCCGGCTGCTGCGTGGGTGAGTGATTCGCCCTCCTCGAGAGCAAACAGCTAGGATCGCTGGATTGCTTAGAGAAAGCAGCCAGCAAACTTAGAGTGGAGCTGCTCGGGGGCTCGACCGAAGAGTAAGTGTGTATGTGTGTGTGCGTGCGTGTGTGTACGCACGCGTGTTAATTACTGCTTGGCGATCTAATTTCTGTTTTCATTGTGACTGCCGCACTTTGGGAAACGGTGAGCAGAGGTCACTACCATCTTTACGCATCGGATCTGTGCCGGTACTCGGTAGGCTGAGTAGCCTCGCTGTGACATTTGTATGAGGGGCTGCGTTGCAATGTGGTCATGTGATTTCAGGCTATGGATTTCGTGCGTCTTTCTTTTGCTCACTTGTTTTCACATGGTAGTTCCTTCATTTTGCACTCGACAGTTTACATCTTCTGAAGTAAACCAGAAGGTTGTACATCTCACTTAATGGTGACTGGTCGAAGGCATCTTGATTTCCAACATTTTGGAAACCCCTCTCAGTTTGAAATAGAACAGATCATATATATAGTGTATTTTTAATTAGAGCTTCATTTATGACCTATTTAGTAGTGATTTCTCAGAGTTAGTCCTCTGATGGTGATCTCATTAAATGTCTACTTACTAGAACTAGTCTTAATAGGAACATGGTTAACTCTCTGGTTACATGTAGACAAATGTTGAAGCACTTTAATCATTGATATAGATTTTTAAATCTTGGTTCATAATGTAGAACTAATCTGTTGCTTTTCCTAAAATGGCTATATTTTTTTTCTTCATCAGTGGTCATTTCAGGTACTATATTATGAAGAAGGGTAAAAATCATTAACAACATAAGCTTAGGAATATCTAAATTTCCAAAAGAAACCCTTAGTTTGTCAAGAAGCCATATAAACTTTATTACTCTTTCAGTGGAGGTTGTCTAGTTCCAGATAACTCGGTCTGTGGATCTGCTTCCAGAGGCCATGAAGTCCCTGAAATTGTATTCAAACTTTTGAGTGGCTGCATTTTTAGGGAAATATTCCAGAGTCCTCAGATATCCAAAGAGGTCTGTGACCCAACAGAAAAATAAGAACCACAAAGTTAAAATATATAAGCTACACTTTTTCTTGTCAAAACAATAGACTCTCTATATAAAGCCTGCAGGCATAGAATAGTGGTAGGAAAAATTCTGGAATAATTAAATAGTGTTATGATAATGAAACATTTCATATAAAATAGACCCACTTATATGTTTTTAAATGTATTGGTTAGGAAACTTAGGTAGGTGAAGTTTTAGTAAAAATTTGTAATGAATAAGTGGGAATCTTCTGTTTCTTCTTGTACTGTAAGATTTCTGTCGAATTTGACAGAGAAAATAAAAATTATATTTTTCTTTCTTTGAAACCCAGCATAAATATAAAGTACTTATGCTTGGTGTGGTGTTTCATAGTGTATGAATATAAATAAATACTTAAAGGCTCTGTTTCTGGATATCCAGGTATAAAGTAACATCTAAGACAGTTTTCTATCCCTTAGAGAACACAGAAAGAACTGTAAAGGTATTTATTTATATCTGGCAACACCAAAGGAAAACGAAATGTGGAAAAAGAAATGAAGGAAAACTTCACAATGGTTAGTACTTATATCTCTTATAAGTATGGTTTATTAAATCATCTTGTTTTAAGGCATTATTTTGAAAAACTTTTAATTAATATTGTACTAAAACCTAAAGAAGTAATTGATAACTATAATTAAATTATTTCTATTATGAATAGGGCAATAAAATATTTTTGTGACTAAATGTCAGCAGTTTTGTCATCACTTTTTTGTGATAAAGATATTGCATAACCTTGAATTTTGTCAGAAGCCATACAAGGGAAATTAAATTCTGTATTTATAGTTGTAGGTTGCATTTGCTAACAATTAATATGGGTGTATAGGGGAGAATATTTGTTTTTTTACAAGTTAGTTTAAAACAACATATGTACCCAAAAAATCTCTAATTAACCTTTTTCCAGAAATAAATAAAAATCAATTAGCCTTAAGAATGAATCTCTCCAGGTAAAGAGAAATGGAAAGGTAAATTAATATTTGGATAAACCAAACCAAAAAGTATGTTACTGATGGAAAACAATTTGGGGATAAAGTAGTTATTCAGAATATTTTCTATATGTCAGATTTGCCAGGAAGTTGCTGAGCTTTGCTTGCTAGAATATACAGCTTTTATAGCACTCATTTTATACTGCTTAATTACAAATATTTACCCAAGAGACTTTTCTTAAACATTACTATTTATTACTTTTGTATTAATTGTATAACAGATTTTTTAAATTGTAACAGATATTTTTCTCTCTAAAATATTAATAGTTTCAATGGTTTTTAGTCTCTAAGCCATCTAGATTTCTGCAATATTCATTAGGTGCCTGTGCAATAGTTTTAAGTATCTCCATCTTGACTTGATACAGGAAGAGCTTTTGGCAATTTTTAGGTCTTTATATGAACAAACTTAGTTGCCTACAGACTAGTTGACTTATTTGGGGGTGGAGTAATTTTTTGGCTATCCTGAATCATATTTGCTTCTTTTATTTCTCTCGAAGAGTTTAGAAGTGTCTGACCTATTTGATATTTTTTTCTCTCCCCTGGGTTCAGGCCAACAGGCTTCATGTTCCTATAGCCTTGAGGCTTATAGAGTATGAATAGAATTATTTGCAAGGAGTGAAGAGCTTAGGCCAGCTCCCCTCTCAGCCGACAGTAGGCGAGAATGACTACCTTATAAAACTTGAGGGGCTCAGGGGCATGATCTCCCCTTGCCACAAAAATGTGATTCTTACTGCTTGTAGTTACTAACTTCGCTTACCTGGAATGCTTTCTAGCCATTTATAATCTTTTATCAAAATGAAGCCTCCCTGTCAGAATATCAAAGGCAACTCTAATTAATTAACTCACATACCACCACCTCCTTCTCACCATAGCAGGAATTAGCAGGAAGCCAACAGAAGACAGTTGCTTTGAGAGTGAAGTTGGACAGACCAAGGAAAAGTTCTTTTCTCTTTTTGTTACTGAGGAATATTTGCACTGAGCTGACATCTATTGCCAATCGTCCTCTTTTTGTATGTGAGCCACTGCTGCAGCATGGCCACTGACAGAAGAGTGGTGTAGCTCCTTGCCCAGGAATTGAACCCAGGCCGCCGAAGTGGAGCATGCTGAACTTAACCACTAGGCCACTGGGGCTGGCCCAAGGAAAACTTCTTAATCCTGACACTTTTTCCAGGTCGGAGCCATCTACATATCTCCTTCGCTATGCCACGTTACATTGCAAGTACCTGTTTAGATGTGTGTATCTCCTACCAAACTCAACTCTTCCTCAGGACATTCATCATTGGATTCACAGTGCCTGGCATATAGTGTCTAATCAGCTTAATTTTGTTGTCTTTGTAATTGATCGAATTAAATTTTTTTATGCCTTGATGTTATAGGTTGTTCTATTCAAGAGTACAATTTAAAGAGTGCTGTTTGTTTTGCAATGACCCTACATGGAATATTATGGTCTTGTCATACAGAGACACTTCTGTGCTCTTCTCTCATATGGCTTGCAACCTGTTCAGAACTGCTATTATTTCTGTCACCATTGCCCAGTTACCCTTTGTCTTTCTAAGTTTACATCCTTCGCTAGTGTTACTCTCTCTCCATTACCAGTGTTTATTGACCACCTGAATATTCCTCTTTCCTTAGAATCTAAAATAATGGAGGTTTTTCTTTCTACACTTTAATCGGCTGTCCTGAACAGGACTTCGCTCAGCATCTACACATTTGGCTTTCACGGGAGCTTAACCTGCTCTGCTTCCCCTAGGGAATCCACTGGTGTTCACCCACCTGGGCCTTCTTGTCACTCAGAATTGCCCCAATGGAAAAAGCCGAGAATCTCATATTCCCTTTCTGACCGCCACCTCCTATCCTTCCAATAATTCCACTCGCTCACTGCTACCCAACACCCTCTTCTTCTATTATTGTTCCTTGGCTACCCTCAATTTTCTCATGTCCTCCTCTCTTTACTTACCACTAATCTTGGACAGCAAAATCCAAGCAACTCTGCTCCACTCCTCAAATCTCTTGCCACTAGACCTACCAGAAGCTGCCTTCCTAATCTCTGCTTCATTTTTAATGTCTGCTTTGCCTTCCTTGCTGTGGAATTTAGCTGGACAAGGTGATACAACTTTATCTTTTGGCCAACTACAAATTGGTTCACTATAACTTCAGATTAAGGAATGGTTAACAGTGATAGGAAGTTTCTTTATTCTATCTTGGTTAATGCCATATCAAATTCTTCATAGTACATGTTCTAGATTTTTCCAGGTTTTCCAGTCCACCCAAATTACACTTAACTCTTTTCATTCTTAACAGATGACCTTATTTCCTAATTCACCGAGAATATTAAGATCACTTTAGGCAAACTCTCAAGATTCATCTTGA